CGTGGGAGGCCTTCATCCAGCAGAGGATGGAACATGGCTCATGATGACAAACAAGAATGTTTCATCATGAATACAGTACTGTAGTTAAATTACACAATAATGGCTATGCACAAGGAAAAAAACCGTGTAATCGAAGGCTATGGGAACCATGTGACATTGGCATTGACTTTAAAGTTAACATGCTCTACAATACAATATTCCTTAATAATATACTCCGCACACCATTCCGTATTTCCCTCTAAACGTAAATCCTTAATCTCAAATTTTCAGTGGCTTTACCATATTACTGTACTGGAATGAATATCCACCAGTTAGGACAATGTTCCGCTGGCTTCTATTTCCCTGCGCATCGGCAACATTTTATTTTCATGATCTTGTGCCTCATTAGAGGTCGTTCATATGCACGGCCTTCCCTCTTTACATAAAACCCTGCATCACTGGGGGGGGGAAGGGGTCTCTCCTTTGTTTTTAAGATCACTGTATATGCATAAACAATTAACATGCAGCTTTGATGAGTGCTATCACAATTTAAATCTTGAGAGATTCATTATCACACCCCCATGAGTCACAAATAGTTATCAGCATAACTGGAGAAATGTGCAGCAGTGAGCAGCAGTGAGCGCGTGTTATCTGAAGGGTAAACTGACCCTACACCAAAGTTACAAAGGATTAATCATTGAAAGAGCTGCATACAGTAGGTGTATGTTCATTCAAAAAGTATTTTTTTTTTACAAAATCCCAAATAACTTGAGAGCGTCCAGAGATGTGAATATGGTCTAAACCACGGTGACTTCACTGTTGTTCACTCTGCTCAAATTACTCAGGGTTCAAGTTAATCAGTGCTTGCTTGAGTTTCAACAATGGCCTTTAATGCTGCCCAAAGGCATGTCAGCCAAAAAACGCGAACTTGTTTCATTTTACATTATTGCACAACGCTTGAATGTTGCCGTCTCCTGCTGTTTATTTAACGTGGATCTGTATACAGGAAGTAGGACAAAATTAGAAACTGGGAGAGGCCCCTCATTAGTTCCAATCGTATCCCCTAAGTCAGCCCTCCACGAGTGTCTGGCCACAGGGTCACGTCTGCTCCCATTGAACCACCATTGGACGGCTCTTTGAGCCTCATTTCATTAACTTATTCAGATTAAACAATGCGAGCGAAAGAAGGTTGCGGTATTGATGATTGAAGATAATAGCACAGAACCAGCCATCCACAGTCGTTTTGTAGCACAAGTTTAACATACCTGTCAGCCCATACGGTGTATCCGTATTGTTGTACAGGGAAATGTTTTATTCAGGCCCATACGGCGTACAGTCGTTTCAATAGGGGCATTTTTCTCGTCTATTTTGTTTGTCCTTCTTTGCGATGGGACTTTGTAGGATGAACGTTGAGATTTATACGGGCACGGGGTGACCAATAAGGTCTGAATTGGTCTGTAATAAGGTAGGGCACTGATAAGGGATTGACAGGAATGAAAGCATTCATTATTGAAGATAATAGCATGGATCCATTGTCATCCACAGTCGTGTTGTAGCACAAAGTTTAACAATGCCGAAACTTATCATCCCTTCCACAAGGCAAACGGATGTAGCAATGGGTGCCCCATTTTACAGCGGGAACAGTCCTATTTATTCTCCTGCTATAAATGCCAGCTTGAAAGTTACACAACAACTTCAATCTATGTCTAAACGTGTGTGTGTATACGTTAAACACCGCGTGAAGGACTGCACGTTGATTTTTTTTTACAACTGTGATGCTTGTATCTTATTGTGCACTGTTCGCAGTCTGTGCCCCAAAACAGGCGTATATAGTGCTTTTATGTAACACTAAACACCGTAATATATTTGACACAACTTACATTGCAGTAGTCACATTCATAAAATGCATTGTGCATTGCTGTGTCACGGCGTGTATGCCGGTAAATCTGTGAATTCTGATTTAGTTTTTTTTTTAATGCATCATGTTTTAAACTTTTCAAGTGACGACTTTTAAAAATGTTTGTGCGGACACCCACCACAAACTTACACGACTATTCTGCCAAGCTACGCAGAAACTCGAGGCCTTTAAAACCTTTGTCTTTGGCCAGGCAGCCCGTGAAGGCGGGTTGTCAACGTTCGTCTATTTCGGTTATGGGAATTAAAAAAAACCATTCACCATGTGGAGAGATGCGCTGGCACGCACGCTGCGAGCCAGCGTGTTCAAACCTGTCCCGACTGATGTTACAGCCAAAGGGGGGCCCCCCCTCTCTCTCTCTGCCTGTGCCTTGCTCACACACCCCAGTAAGTTTGGTTATGGGAGAACAAGAGACGAGCCACGTCTTTCTCGTCACCATTTTTAACTGCGGCCGGACAGACAGCAAAGGTGGCAGACGTCCTCAGCCACCTTCCGGAGGACAGGCGGTGGCACCGGCAGTGAGAAAGGGCACAACATCAACAACAACAACATCAACAACAAAAAGACCTGTGCTCCATCCATTAGCAATTCTGTAGAGAAGGGGGTGGGGGGTTACAGTGGCAGGTGGTGCAGCACATCACTCTGGGTGGGGAATTGGTTGGGCGACGGGTGGTGGTGCCAAAGTAAACACAACTCCATCAGCTTTGCAACAAACGCAATGCAATTAAACTAGGCGTGAACAAGAAAAGGCTTCGGTGAAAATCCAACCGACACAGGGCGAAAGTTTCAATCTGACGAAGAGAAAACCACCCCCCCGCACCACCACCACCAGACACACACAACAAAAAGCCTCAGCAACTTGGTGCCATTTCAATCACAGTACACTACTCGCATGTGAATGTGTCCTTTGTAACAGGATTTATGAAACACGATGAGCATTGGTCTCAGTAGTGGCATGAGAGACAGGGAGAGAGGAAAAAAAAGCCATTCGGGAGTATGGCACAGTGTACTGTTTAGAAGACGGGCTTCTTCACTTTCAGCTGCTATAAAACTCTCCCGTGATGGCTCAGACAGAGAAACGCTGCCCACAATCACAACAGTTCAGCACTGGCCCACAGTGATGGCTCAGACAGAGAAACGCTGCCCACAATCACAACAGTGTAGCACTGGCCCACAGTGATTGCTCAGACAGAGAAACACTGCCCACAATCACAACAGTTCAGCACTGGCCCACAGTGATGGCTCAGACAGAGAAACGCTGCCCACAATCACAACAGTGTAGCACTGGCCCACAGTGATGGCTCAGACAGAGAAACGCTGCCCACAATCACAACAGTTCAGCACTGGCCCACAGTGATGGCTCAGACAGAGAAACGCTGCCCACAATCACAACAGTTCAGCACTGGCCCACAGTGATGGCTCAGACAGAGAAACGCTGCCCACAATCACAACAGTTCAGCACTGGCCCACAGTGATGGCTCAAACAGAGAAACGCTACCCACAATCACAACAGTTCAGCACTGGCCCACAGTGATGGCTCAGACAGAGAAACGCTGCCCACAATCACAACAGTGCAGCACTGGTCCACAGTGATGGCTCAGACAGAGAAACACTGCCCACAATCACAACAGTGTAGCACTGGCCCACAGTGATGGCTCAAACAGAGAAACGCTACCCACAATCACAACAGTTCAGCACTGGCCCACAGTGATGGCTCAGACAGAGAAACGCTGCCCACAATCACACCAGTTCAGCACTGGCCCACAGTGATGGCTCAGACAGAGAAACGCTGCCCACAATCACAACAGTGTAGCACTGGCCCACAGTGATGGCTCAAACAGAGAAACTCTGCCCACAATCACAACAGTGCAGCAGCAGCATGGCACATCTGGCATTGAATGTGGTCAAATTACATGGTGTGAGAAAGAGCCCTTCCTGTCTAGACGTGGCAGGAGAGGCCCACCAAAGAGCTCTTGCGGCCTACAAATAATAATGTCTCCAACGCATAGCCGTGGTAAAGAAAAAAAACCCACACCACAAAATACAAAACATTTACACAATACACTTAAATTTGCCGTTCTAGTTTTCCTCGTCAGTCTGTTTGTCATTTACTTTTAGTACGAACCAAGAGCAATCACTAAAGAGTCTAAAGCAATTTGTCAGCCTTTCGGTGGCACGGTTTCTTTTGTGCCACGGGCACATCGATACGTTTCCCCCCTTTTCCTACTTATTATTTACATTGACCACGCTGGAATGGCCCATATTGGAGGTGATGGGGGCAGCCTTCAACTCCACTTTGGGAGCACATGTTGCTCCAAAACTTGATGGCGTAACGTTACGAAGTTGAAGGGATCACTCGCCTGAAGGGTTCGGATAAATCACAAGCATGCTCATGCAGTCCCAATACAGTGGACGGACTTAGCAGCATTGTCTAAACTTTACAAAAAAAATCCGAGTTTGAGGACCCAGGAAATGCACATTCATCCAGACAGCAGCAGACCATTGATATATTAAATTGGCGAAAGCATAACAAAATGTTTACCATTTAGGGCACTGCAAGCCATATCATAAGGGTTAGGTTATCTGTTTTAGGCTATAAGTGAATAACAGTTTATAAACTTAAACTTGTCTTTGAAGTATTCCCCACATTTTAGTAATATTATTTGTGCACGATACATAAAAAAAATTCACTAAGGCTTGCAGCAGCATTTCTTAGCATCACCACACGTATACAGTATAATAAAACAAGCTGAGATCGAGCTGAAACTTTACACTTGAAGGTTTCTGGGGTTAGTGATCGATGACGCCAATGTTAGAACAATACAGTTGTCCCCTAAAGTCTGAGCGAGTTACAAAACTGGAAAAGCTACTCTTTTTTTCCCTCTCTCTCTCTCTCTCCCAACACATCTTGATTCGAACTACACCCACAAACACACACACACAACCCACCCATCACAGCCTTGTACTCATAACGATTCGGTCAGTCTTCGACCCATGTGAATCGGGCAACACACGCTGTGGGCCCATACGACCCCGCTGCTGTAACAAGCCACGCCACCTAACGAGCTTATTGACCATCCCCGTGAACATTATTACGGCTCCGTACCTTCATGGCCACTGCGAAGTGGCACTCGGGAGAATGCGGACGGTGGTGTTGGTGGTAGGGGACGCATCTTGGGACGGACTCAGCGTGACATAGCCACCACACGCACGGCTGATGAATTGTTTGCACGAGTCGCGGTTTACTTCTCGTGTCTCATGGACAAAAAGATGCGGACGGCGGATCGTCTCTAGCCCCCTTCCTGTCTCTCTCTCTCGACTCGACTAGAGAGAGACACGAGAGAGAGAGAGACGCGAAGCTTCAACGAGACTCCTCCTCCTCCTCCCCCAACAGGCAAGCCAGTCACCCTCGTCCACCGCCACCGCCTCCCTCCACAACCAAGCCCCCTGGGAGCCAGCGCCTGCCCCCAACCCCCACAATGAAATATGATCCTTCACTCCTACACTCGTGGGGGGGTAGGGAGGTGTGGCTTCACATGAAAAGTCCCCGACCATCCCAGGTCAAGGCAGAGCCGAGTTTATGATGAACGAGGGGGGGGGGATGGCCAGCACCACGCCTGGCCCCCTTTGTCCCCCCGAGTGGCGATGTTCACACAGCAGAGCAGTTAGTCGTTTTATGCTGAGTCGACCTAGGGGAGGCCCAGGAGCGGTAAAAAATAATCGTCACCGGTAGTGGCCGTGAGCGGGAATCGAACTCGGGTTGCCGGATTGTAGCGTGGCGCGCTAACCACTACACTACAATGCGTTACACTTCCACACACACAGACACACAGACAGACACAGACAGACACACACAGACACAGATAGACACACACACAGAGACACATACACAGACACACACATACACACAGACAGACACAGCGCGCTAACCACTACACTACAATGCGTTACACTTCCACACACACAGACACACAGACAGACACAGACAGACACACACACAGACACAGATAGACACACACAGAGACACATACACAGACACACACAGACACACACAGCGCGCTAACCACTACTCTACAATGCGTTACACTTCCACACACACACACAGACACAGATAGACACACACAGACACACACACAGACAGACACACACACAGACAGACACACAGACACACACACAGACACAGACAGACACAGCGCGCTAACCACTACACTACAATGCGTTACACTTCCACACACACACACAGACAGACAAAGACGGACAGACACAGACAGACACACACAAATACAGACACATACACACAGACAGACACAGACAGACACACACACAGACACACACTCAGACACAGACAACGCGCTAACCACTACACTACAATGTGTTACACTTCCACGTGCGCGGGTCACGTGACAGATTTGACGTCACAGCTCACTTGCCGTGCAAAAAAATAAATGCATTGAGCTCCCCCCCCCCCCCCACAAAGTGTATTTTTATAATTTTAGCATGGTGTACAGTGTGGAAATGAACATTTTGGACACAATCACAACTTTGCCTTTTAAATATTTGGAGATGGCTGAGTGCGTCGGTACGGCGTTGTTTTTTTTTGTCGGGACTGTGTGCAGTGACTGTAATTGTGTAGTACTCAACTGCTCACAGCAGGAAGACAAAGAAACCGCACGATAAATAACAAACAATGCATAACAGTATTGATGAAGTTACCTTGAAACGTCTCCGAGCGTTCCACACATAACCTCAGTTTTCATGCAAAATGCGTGTTTCCTGTTATGTTTTAAAACGTGTAACAATACAGTACAAGGCCGTAATTATAATACTAAATATAATTACACATCCCCCCAATATTCAAATATGCTCAAAATGCCCCCCCCCCCCCCCATATATTGCTATAAAATATATTTCTGTTTATATTATTGTGTGGTTATGGTTGTACTTTATTAATCCCTAATCTCTGCCATTACATACAATTAAATAAGAAAATGTAAAAAAGAAAAACAGCAATGTAATACAATTCACTATTAGTCATTATTGTAAAAAAAGTCAATCCTATGTGTTAGTGAATTTTTTAATATTTTAGGCAGGAAATTTGTTTTCAAATTTAGATATTTTTTTCTGGGGGGGGACCCCCAGACCAACCTGGAAGATTTGGTCCCCCCCAATGTTGACTCCATGGCTACGGCCTTGATAAAGTACTAGCAAAGCTTTGAGACGGTGTGCAGTGACACATTCATGTGTTGGCAATGGTTTTAACATGCACAAGTTGGTAAAGTGGACTCAATACTATTCCATTCAGGACAGTTTACACTCTCGGAAACAAAAAACCGTCACACTATATAATTAGACCCATTTAAAATCGCATTAAGGCATACCCCCTTCAGCTCTAAGTTGAAGTACTGTATATGGATTGGGTGGTGGACTGACAAAAGGAGTGGTAGAGGGGGGAGGAAGGGTGCTGGGGGCGTTGTCTTGGGGTAAGAAAGACTGGGGAGGTGAAAGGTGATGTGGGTTCAGGATTTTACCACCAGGTTCCAAAACCCGCCACTCAAGATGTTGTGATTAACTCCATTGTTGGCATTGCTTCTACAAGTATATAGCGTCAATGCTGACAGCAACCAGTACTCACATTGATTATCACACAGGCAAACAAAAAAAAGATGAAGAAAATGTGCGCATATTGCAAAAATCTTGAATTATAATTTTATACTCTGTGAGCCAAATATTATTTTATGGCTATAGGGGAAATAGGACAATCTCGCGAGTGCAGTTACAGGGGTTTTCAATTGGGCACACAAGGGAGAGCGACCATTGTGAATACACTGTCATAATTTCAATACAGTATAAGTAATTCACTATTTTGGATTTGGACCAAGAACACTGGACCAAGGCACTTATTAGATTTCTCTTGCAAAAACGTTACGGTCTAGACATCGTAAGCCATCCAACTTTTGCAAGTGCACTGACCATGTAAGGCAGCAGCAGCGCTTACAGTTGTAGAACCTACGATATGTATTTTTTTTAATCAGTACCTCAACTGTTGTGAACATACATGGAGGCTGTCAGCTATTAGAGTACACTATGGGGTAAATAGACTTTGAGGATAACATACATGTACATTATAAACACCTGATGATGACCGTTTGTGTTATGGTCGAAACGTCGTGAGAATTTTTATTGTTTTATAAATATATTTCATTATTTTATTGTTTCCCTTCAACGTGACTTTACCGAAAGAGCTAAGAAAATGAATAACTGCAGTCACGAAAGCTTTAAATCAAAAAATGTAAAAAAAACCGTTTTACGTGAGAACATTACTTGATTAGTAAAACATACATACTGTCCTGTGATATTTTAACAAAAGCAGTGAGTGTAAGTAATCTCAAAGGGTTATTTAAAAAAAACCATTGTGGTATCTGTTCATATATTTACTTTTATGACTGCGGTTAGACTAAGTTTCATAATTACAAAATACTATTTCTGGCATGGCTGCATCTTCATCCTAAATTTAGCAAAGCAACAGAAACGCCTCGCATCTAGCAAGCACAATGGCCACTTAGGCGCACTGGGTAATGGCCACATTCAAAACAGTTTGACTGCACATACATTGCGAAATTCTTTTTTAAAATATAAAACCAGGGACCGTTGTTCCCAACACACAAGCTTACAGAAATACCGATGTACTGAAGAGGTTTCCTTGGCCTGTAATGCACAGGCTCACCTTGATGTGTGAAAAATGATAGGGATGTTACGGTTTTAAATATAACATGAATTTAACTTGGGTTTTCTCAAACCTCATTTCATAAGCTTCCTTTCCCAAGCCCTCTTTTTACTGCATTTGTTCATCTGTATTCAAATCCAAATTGAGTCGTTCCCCACTACACCCACTTACAGCAGATGCATTTCATTGCCTATGTAGTGGGTCCAACTGAGTCGCAGACGTTGTTCCTTTTAGAGGCAACACTTTTATTTGTACCACCATAACACCATAACACAAAGGGGTAACTGCCCCTTTGCCAGACTACAGCGAGTTACTGCTAGGAAGGGTCGATCCCTCACTCGGGTCTCCGACCACGTGGTAACCTCGTAAGACGGAGAGCTTCAGCTTAAGACGTAGAGCTTGCCGCTTGAAGATGTTGAGCTTCAAGCGACCCCGGTCCCTCTCAGGGACCCACCTTATATCCCTCTCCGGTCGGGGCCACTCCTCCCTCGGCCCCGCCCGCCTTCCCGAACATTCTCGTTCCCTCTCGATCCTTCTCAAGAGCTCTCTCCGGACACATGATCATCCCCGAGTCCCCCCACCTGGGGCCCCCTGCATGGACATTCCGGATCACGTGTCTACGGGGTCAACCAGAGTGCCATGGCCCAGGGCAATCCTGCCCCTGGGCTGACACTCCCCCCTACCCCTCGGGGGAGCCCCCACCACATGCTGTGCGTGGTGCCCGTGTTGTGCCACGACCACGGAGCAACTCCGTAAGCGCCGCAACCCTGCCCTGAACGCAGACACACACACACACACACACCCACACGCACACACACACGTAGGGCCTCGGTGGGGAGTCACCTGGTACCATGGGTTTTTACCCGAGGGGCCCCTAGCAGGGATGCCCCACGGTTTCCCAGTGCCAGGAGATAGGCCGACCCACCCCCAGGCCAAATTGCATTGCGGCCCCCTTGAATTGGCTTAAAATTGTACGGGCACGACGAAGCTCACCGGGCGAACCGCAATGAGACACTCACAGCATGGGGGAGAGGGCTGGGGGGGAAACATTACGCGGGCAGCGCAGAAGAGGAGGTGGGAGGGAAACTCCTGGACCCGCTGCAGATGTGTATTTCGCGGGATGGCCACCCCGATCAAACCGGTTGTGGCCGGGGGTGGGGAGGACGGGTGCATAGACAATGGGTCAAGGCGCACCGGAGAGTAACGCTCCAAGTAAGGGTGGGGCATCGGTTTAAAATCGAAAAGTAGGCGCCCGATTGGCCGCTCAGGATAACACTACGTGACCCTGGATCTGCGGATTCCGAGGGCATAAAAGGAGGGAGAGGAAAAACGTTGCGGGGTACTCCTCCAGCCGTTCAGCCACCCGGACCGACTCCCAGCCGCTCGCAGCGTCCAAGAGATGCTAGCGAGTGCCGCTATGACTCGACCCCAGGTCGAGTCGTAGCGGCACTCGCTGATGATCCTTTCGGATCATCGTCCCTCCGACTCGCACAGCGTCCGTGCAACACCGTGGGTGCGCCTGCGAGGTGAGAAGTAGAGTGGGGGTACACCCAGGGATTGAGTAGGGATAGGCTAGGCGCTGCTCGTAGAATATTTACTCCGGGCCGCACAGGGTTTTCTTTAGATGCGCCATTAATAAACTTCAGTTCAGAAGATCGGTGTAGTGTGATTTCTGTGTGTGTAGGTGAACTTCGGCATGGTGTCTGTGATTTTTGTGCG